CATCAGGTTATGAAAGTTATAAATGTCCCTGTCTCCTCTGTTCAGGTGTGCTCTCGTGGCAAGACTACCAGCAGGTTGCACCCTTCCTGCAGGAGGTAAACTAGCCTTGCTGAGTGATCCACTGTCTCGGTGCGGATTTTTACCAACGCTATAAACCCGTTTCCAACACTTATACTTTCCAGTTCCCTCCTCCCCCATCCTGTGGCAACCACTAATCTATTTTCTGTCTCTATACATTTGTTTATTCTGGAAATTTAACAAAAATGAGAGCATATAACATGTGACCTCTTCTATCATCATCTCTTGAGCATCCACCATGGGCCAGGTACTATGTGACTATCTTCCCTCAGAGGTTCAGTCCAGCCAGGGAGAAGGACCTGCAGCAGCAGAATTATCCTGCCTGAGACAGCTGATGGTGTCCTGACATTTCCTTTGCTATGTTGATAGAGAAATAGGAGGTAAAGCCATCCTCATAGGGTAACAATTATGGACAAAAATATTGTTAAAATGAAGCATTAATTAGGCTGCACTTTGACCCACTTCCTTGTTGCTAAAAGTCTCCTAGCACAAGATACCTGACCATGTGTGTACCCATTGTTCCTATAAAGAAGATTTCTGATATTTGAATCATAAGGCTTTTTTTAAGGATCGCTTAAGATATTTTTCAGATCCCAAATTCCAGCAAAATAGCTGATACCAGCCAGTTTGAAGACTCCCACAAAGAAATGGAATTAGCATGAGAATACAGTTTCTTCATCTCCCTGTCCCAGGACTTCTCCCTGCACTATTTGACCAATTCATGTTCTCCACACTTTGGCCTGCTCCAAAATCCTTAAAAACCCTAGCTCCAAACGCCTCAGGGAGATGGATTTGAGGTGCCCTCTCATCTTTTTTGGGCAACTCTACTGTGATATTGTGCTGGCCTAGAGCCAGAACCAGAGCAAAACTATTTTATAAAATGCAAGACTGTTTTTAGATAAGTTGAAATGGCTGCCCCATTCTCCTTACAACAACTACTGTCCTTGGCCTCTGTAAATAGAACTGTTAGTTTGTCTTCAAAACTATGTAAAGCTGTTTACCTTTTCTTATCAGTAACTGCCAGAATTGCTAGCCTTTGCTCACCGGCAATTGCCAGACTAAGCAGCCCAAGCTAGTTCCATCCTGGCTCCTGTGGCTTGTAATAAGTAACTAAGGTCTGTGATTTCCACCTTAACCAGATAATGTGTAAACAAATGTTTATCTTTGGC